ATAGAGCATTCGTTTGGACAAAGTGGAGTATTAACGCGGCGTGCTAGATGAAAGGATTTCTCAAACATATTTGTCACTAAATTACTGTGAGGGGCACCAACATAGGGTAGGGGCGGACAACCCCTGGGATGTAATAAAGGAACAATGAGTGTTGTGATATGAGGGATCAACAGAAGGGGGTTTACGGTGCTGATGTACCTGCTGAAGATTCAAAATGTGTATTCCAAGGTAATGCAGCATTTAAAGACATTTTACTCTCAAGAAAGGAAGGCTAGGAGCGGACAACCCCTGGAAATTAATAAATAAATCAATAACGTTGCGATATGAGGGATCAACTATATTATAGAGGGCGGTTTGGTGCTGATGTACCTGGTGAAGATTCAAAATGTGTATTTCTAGGAAATGCAGCATTTAAAGACATAAGAAAGAAAGGCTTGAATGGGGCGGATAATCCCTGGTAATTAATTAATAAGCAATGAATGTTGTGATATGATGGATAACTGAAGGGTGGTTTGGTGCTAAAGATTCCAAATGTTTATTCTAAGTATGTATGACTTAAAGACATTTTAGATTAAAGAAATAAAAGATTCCCTAAAGATGGCCACTTATAAAAAAGGTAACGCTTCCTAGATATTTTTACTCTTAGGAAGAATCCCTTTGACAGTGACAATTCAAAGGAAGAATAGGATCTGATGATCCCATTGTTTTTATTCTAAGGAAATTTATATATATGAATTTGAAAGGTTGGTTATTTTGGCTGGGGACATAAAACGAAAAAGTAAATCGGCCCGGATCCAGGTCTTACTACGAGACCTACGGTAATAGCTTATTCCCTATATGAGAAATCCGTTAAATGTATCCACTGAAGATTGTTGATCCTATGGAAAGGCAGGGGTTCCGAAAGAACACACTCCTAAGGAGATGTATGATTAACCAAAACTTAATCCTTCTAATACATGTATTATCTTATAATTTAAGACGGTAGTTTATGTTCTTTCCCTATCTTCATAAGGAAGTACACAATACAACGACATTCGTTTCTCCATCTTCTTACAAAACTAATACTTTATCCCAAACTTATGGACTCCCCTTCTTTCCATGCCCCTTCTTAGGACATACAGTTTATGCACAAGCGGATTGTAGGATTAATTTTGCTAGAAAACTGCACTGTAGTGCCATTTTTACAAAAGAATAACAAGTCTACTTGCGTATCCAAAGTTAATACTTGACCTCTTCCATTTCCCTGGGAAGTCAAAAGCTTTGTCAGTCATAAGCGAAAACACAAACACATGTTACACATTATAAACTGACAGCATAAAGTACTTCGCCCCACCCACGGGTTATTGCATAAAGAAGGCTCTTATTAACATGAAAGACCGCGTGAAATGATTCAATCGCATCTAATTTTATTGAGTTAGATATCAGTGAGCTTATTGTCCATGAGTTAGCTTCCACCCTTCGGACTTTAGGGCGGAATAATGGACTCCCTAAGTGGTGTTTGGGGTCGCCGGGCTTTAATTCTGCACCATTTCCGCTTCAAGTTTACTTATTGTGTTTAACTCATCCGACTCTTCGTACCTGTTAGGTGAATTTGCCAACTCCAATGTTTGCCAATGAAGATGGTAGCAATCTGAGATAATGAAATTATTTTAAAATGTTTGAGTAGGAAATCAGAGTAATCTTTCTCTTTGAGTTCATCAAAATACGTTTGATTTGATTGTAAAGCCTATGTTGAAGTGTGTTAACGCCCGGCTGTGTTTCAGCACGCCCAAGTCTATTGTCTATCTTATTTGAAATGGCTACATGACAAAAATTATGGACAACATTATAAGAAGAAAATTGAAAAACAAAATACAAAAGCAATGAAAATCACCTGAAAATAAAGAGAAAAAGAAATATATGTGTATACCTTACAACAAATATATGACTAAAGCAATAAGAAATACATTTAAAAACTCGGATGTAAGCTTAAGTTATAGAACTAAGAACAATATATTCCAATCAATCAATAAAGAAATTAAAAATACAGAATATAATGAAGAAGAAAAGTACAACAAATCAGGAATCTAAAAGATCAACTGCAGTGATTGTAGCAATTATTATATTGGTCAAACATATCGAAGTTTTTAAACACGTTTAAAAACTTCAAGCATTGAAATAAAAAAAATCTAGTTTCAATGAAATGAAACTTTGCTGAATGAAATCAGATCACAGTTATAAAAACATTAAAGAATTTCAATAACAATATTAGAATATGAAAAAGAAAGTGAGAAACTATGTAAAAGAATAGTTAAATATTTATCTACATAATAAAAACGACCCCTCAAACATACTAAATACAGTACTTCCAAAAATAAACCATCCGATATACGACAAAATAGAAAAACTCAGGAAAGAAAGTAAACATTTACTACAGTAATGTATAATGAAGAAGCAAATACCATAGTTAAGATTTATTTAACATATTTTCTATTTAAATTTTATTTTTACCTATGATAATAATGTTAATATTGTTGGTTTTAACCCTTTTATGAATGAGGTTATGGTAAATATGACTTGATAATGGATTAAGCTTCCGAAACATGCCGTGGAAATAAGATAATTATTTAAAGAAAAAAGGTACTTTGTTAACTATGTTTTTTATTTTAACGAATTTTCCATATAGGGAATAAGCTATTACCGTTGTACTCATGGTAAGACCTGGACCCGGGACCGATTTACTTTTTCGTTTTGAGGTACCCAGAGGCCAAAAACACCCTCCGTTCAAATTCATATATGTATATATGAACACATATGTATATATTTATATACATATCCACATCAATCATCGATCTCTATTATTACTAAGAGATCGATGACATCAATATGTTAATGTTAGCGCGATAACATAAGCAAAAATGATCCGATTTTGATGAAATTTGGCAGGACCGTGTAAACCTACGTCTATTCGAACGAGTTCGCGAACCAGCATGATCGGACTATGGGACGGGGGTTTATGGGGGGTTTTATGGGGTAAAATTGGTTTTTCCCATTTTTGACTCTAAATACATAAAATTTCACAATTTATTTCTAGACCATTTTGTAGAGCTTAAAAAAATAATGTTGTATATTGAAGCGTTGTTGTATGCCTAACGGTTACGGAGATAATTAAAAAATAAACTTTAAATTTAAAATTCCCATGTTATTCTTATCTTACTAATATTATAAATCTGAAAGTTTGTGAGTTTGTGTGTTGCTCAAATCACGCATAAACTACTGGACGGATTGGGCTGAAATTTGGCATGATGATAGCTCACATTCCCTACCTATTAACATTTAGGCATATTCTTATCTCAAAAATCCTTTCGGGCTCCACCCCAGTGGGTCTGTAGTTCCCCATGTTAACCTTATGAGAATTCATAAGGGAATTAAAGAATTTAGTCAGCTGTTTCAACTTTACAAGTTGGTTCTATAATATGCAATAGCATTAAAAAGTTATAAGGTTTCCCAACAGGGTGCAGCACTATTATTATTTTGTTTGTGCATTATATGACAACAGCTAATTTGAACTAAGCAGCAACAAAAAGCTGTCAAACACAATGACACAATGGCTGTTGAAGCACAATGAGAACTGTCAAAGTAGGATTGTTTACAGTTAGGTTTGAGTTTTAAATTTAATGAATAATTTGTGATATTGTGTGAATATTTGATAATTTATTTTTTTCTATCGTTTAGGTGCAGTGGTAGAACATTATGGCAATGGTAGATGTGTTATACTATATCATACCGTAAATTTATGAACCAAATTTTATCAAACTGTGTCCTCCCTTATTGCAAACGCAAAGCTTGAGTATAACTGCAATAAGCATTTTATACTTATATGCCAACCCCGTACGAAGGACGGGTGCTCTGCTTGTAGACAATAAATGAACTGTTAGTTGCAGTTTGCTTGTTTATGGATATCGTTTATTCAAATTTGGCAATTTTGTTTATTTCATACTAAGCTATCATCATTTCAATGAAAATACACCTCAATTCCTTCCCTGTAGCAGCAAACCTAGGTACTCATTAAAATTTATGTTATTTCAATAGGAAATAAATCTGACAATTTTCAGAGTATAATATTTTAGTAGAAATCCAGCCAGGTAAATGGAAATTCTCTTAGTCTGCAGGGTTGCTGCGGTGGGGGTATTTATTATATTAGTAGCCATGAAAATGAAAGAATGTCTATAATGCAATAATTTGGGTAATATTTTTTTTCGATTTTGAAGAAATTTTGTTTGAAGGTGTGGTGTAAGGCGGGATAACCGTTAATGAGCTCGCGAACCAGCATGATTGGACCATGGAAACGGGGGTTTACGGGGATTTTATGAGTTTATTTTTATTGTTTGAGTTTCTTTTAACTGAATACGACAGAGACCAAAAAATTCCACGGAAACAAGTAATTCATTGTCGGACGAAAAAGAAAATACAGCCAACCAAACTCTGGGGGTACCATACAATTAATACATATCAAAACTAGCTTCATAAGTCACAAAGACGTGGAAATCTATTTAATACTATTGAACAATACCAATGGACAAATTCAACCAAAAACAATTGCATATCACATTATCCTTTCTGCGAAATAACGCATTGTCCCACTTTAATTCACTTCTACAATAACAGGACTAATAAATTGACAAAGGCGCAAACAAAGCAACAAAACAGGTAGAGAACGCATTGTTAACTCTAGTTATTAGGTTAATTTTCAACTGGCAAGTGGCAATATCACATGAATCGGCGCAAATTGTGAAAATGCGGGGGGAGCTTTCAATCATGTAGATTACGGCTTTGCTAGTTTGCATCGGAATGCGCGATTTGCGCGTTATCGTTGCTTGGCAACGCGGACCAATGGGAAGCGAGGATTTCAACCCTCGGATCGATCAGCCAATGGGAGCGCTTGCAATCATCCTGCTGCTGATCCTTTAACATGGCTGTCAGGGGGTTATTACGACCGCAGGATACGCCAGTTGGGGATGATGACTGGGGTGTGATGGATAAGAATAAGGAGCGAGGCAGGACTAGCTTCCTGATTGAGGATATTCTCTTTAGGCCCAAGTCGGGTCTACACGCGCCCCAGGTTAGTAAATAAATATTTTTTTTTTATTTAAATTAGTTTTATTTGTATAAACATTTTAATTAGAATACAGTACACTGCGTTTAAAAGGTTGGATTTATTTATTTCAAAAGTGGATGTATAATTATTTCAATTGTTTAGCACTACAAGATGTAATGACCTATTATTTTCACGTATACTCGAAATATGTTATTCCTTGTTTCAAGCATGGTGATTACTATGGATGCATAACATCCGTGTAAACATCGGTGAAGTAATGCATTTAGTCTTTACATCTTGTAACTTATGGGGATTGAGTCGGTAAAAAATACTCTCATATTTTCCCCCTTGAGCTATCTATCTATCTATATATTAATAGGCAAGCATGTTTCTTTAAAACCTTTTTTCTCAGCTCGTGTGCATCGCAGGCAGAATCTATGGATACTGTTGGTAAGATATTTTCCTGTAGATGTGCGGAATCCCTTCATAAATTAAAATAGGCTCAAAAATTAGTACAAAAATTGGATTTAAAATCTTAAAAAAACTAACATTGATTTTATGGGTTGCCATGCAGGTGACAAAATAACAATGCAATATAAACAGAAAATAAAAATAAAATGGAAGAAATTCCAATCACATGTTTTATTTACAGCGTAGTGTGAAAATAGAGAAGTCTGTACATTACATTTTTTTGGTTGAGTTTTCGTCCACTGGACAACCTCTAGTTATTACTAATATATAATTTTTAGGTTTGTAAAGCCAATCTTACTTACAACTAAACGATAAACGTTAGAGATCTCAAAAAATTAATTACTAAACTAACCCATCGGTCTACTGAGATAGAATACAGATTAATGATGAGCATTTGAATTTATTTTAATGAGCAAAGATTTCTATTAAATATATTCAATACAGTATTAATTAATTTCCCAGAACAAAACTCGATCCTCAGTTTACTATTTTATTAATGTTACAAAGTCAAGTCGATGTCTCCAAATTCTGTTAGAACTCTTTAAGTTAATAGAAACATGCTATTGGTCGATACTTTATATTTTACTACCTCGTCAAAGTAAAAGTAGTTTATAAAGCCACACTGACAAGCCAGTGTTTACTTTTTTTGTCCTAAGGACGCTAGGCATGAGCCTGGGATTGTTTTTCACATTACTTCAGGCTAGACCTAGGGGTTACGGCATTATCACTTAGATAAAATCCATTGGTGACTTGGCGGGGATCCAACCCGGGACCTCAGGGACTGAAGTCCCGCGCTCTAACCACTACGCCAGCTCGCTCCCCATAGTGTTTACTTTAACAATCAACTTTATCTCAACTGCCCTCGATTCACAAGAGTTAGTAAAATACTGTAGCTATTACTCGTATAATTGACCAACCCCATAATCGTTAAACAAAACATAACATTGCTTTGGAATTGTTATATGGCCTTAGGAGGTTCGAGAATATTAACCAGTTTCATATAATTGCAGATCTGTTTTCAACATGAGTTCTATTTCGTTTCTGGTTAGCTTGTATGTATTATTACGTGGTATTAGTCCTTATTTGAGAGTTAGCAGAATCGTGCTAATTTTAGCACAACCAGCACCCAACAAGACAGCATTTTAATTATAATTCTTCTTGAAATGTTATTCTCTAAGTTCTAAAAGTTATACTTAAATTGGAAAAACACAAACAATGTATTAACACACTTGATTGATTGATTTTGTGTTTGGATACACAATAGTGTTTCCAGTAAGCTAAAAGTCCAGAGCTTCAAATCGTTGAACAAATCTATCTGACTCGGTTGTATCGACATTGTATTTAGATTTCCATTGGCGGTTTTAGCATTTTCATCCACCTCTGTATTTTGACTTGTAAATACTACTGTTATTTTGTAAATCAACTGTTGCATAATGCTTGAAGATAATACAGTTATTTATTTACTATCTTTCTATAATTTCCTTTTGGGAAATCTTTGGAAGATAATTTAATCGTTCGGGGTTTATAAGAATGCGTAAACACTGTTTTACGTAATTAATACAAAATGGTTTCTTCAATATTTATATAAGTTCTGTTGTTTCCTAGTAGGACATGTGGGAAGACTTGTTTCCATGAAAGGGTTTGTATTTATTGGTTCCATTAAAAAACTAAATAAATATTGGTAAATGTTTGTAAACTTAAGCCAATTAAGTAACGTGTTTCAACGTTAAGAATAAACTACTTCAGGAGCTTTAGGTCAGGTCATTTAGATTTTACATTGAATCGCAACAGATATTGAGCTTAAAATATACATATTCAATGTAACTTAATTGTACAGATATATTCAGGTTCTCCCAAAATCTTTGGTATCGCTTATTTGAAAATATTGATAGCGTATTAAAGAGGTTTTTCCATTAATAAGCTAAGCCCAAGGCAATAAGTCATTTAATTTCAGTTTCATCTATACTAAAAATACTGACCAATCGACCAGGAAGAGGCTATCAAAGTGCGATTGTTGATCATGCAATCCGCAGTCTACGAATCTGATATACACATACATGAGGAATTGTCTAACATTTCATATTTCGACCTATAATAATTACATCTTCTCAACTCAATCCAAAAGTTAGAGAATTAGGTAAAATCTCAGTAACTCAGTAACTGGCATAATACGTGTCTCGTTCCGTGATGATCTTTTTGATCGTCCCTCAGGCCTAACGGCACGTAGTAATAAACACCTTTATACAACCGATTTTGAAGGGAATTCCTTTTTAATCCCCGAAACCTGAATACAATAAGATTAAGTTAGTTGCTACAAAGTAAAATGTATGATCACTTTTTAAGTCTTGTTACCGGTATATAGGTTCTAATTTACTAAATAAAATCTACACACTCCTCTGTGCAATTTTACTGTGCCTGAATGATGTATTTATTCAATCCAAATATTTCCCGTACTCTAATATTAGTCTCTTATATAATCTTCACTTCTTCTACGCCTTTTTCTTGGCCTCTTTCTTCTAGATTCTTCCTCAGATTCAGTGCTTTCCGACACTTCATCCTTCTTTTCCTTAAACACACTGTGTCCTGATGACTTGGGCATTGCATAAACATTCATGTCGCTCTTTTCAACGTTGTTTTCTTTGGGAACTTCTTCATCCCTAACTTTCCTGTGTCTCCTAGGCTCCTTCCTCCGCAACGGTCTTCCAGGATCCTCCCCATAACTATAGACGTGGGAATCGTCAGGTCTTCCACGCCTTCTAGAGTTACAAGTCTTACAGCCTCCATAACCAGCGTAGTCATTGTATCCAGAGCGATTATCGTATCCAGGGCGATAATCATCGTAGCGAGGGCGATAATCATCGTATCCACCACGGTAACCATCGTATTCGTCGTAGTATTGTCCTCTATAGGGCCCATCGTAACCACTATAACTTCTGTCGTAGTCTGGCCGATATATGTCCTGCCAGCCGTTATAACGATCGTCGTACATGTTATAGTTATAAATATCATTTCCCCTATATCTTGGTCTGTCGTAATATTCATCCTCAGAATCTTCAAAATCCGAAAGTTCCCTCTCTCTTCGCCTCTTCCTTACATTTCTTCTGTTACTCATATTCGTTTTGTTTTTAGTCGGGCACAGTTGATTGCAGTGGGAAAAAGTCGCCAATAATGTACATTTCTTGTTTTAAGGAGGTTTTCTTGTTTTATTACATGGTGTACACTAGAATTTAACCTGACTGTGTAAAATAAAACATGTCAAGTTGACATCTTGTGATTGTTTATTTTTAATAATTTAACAGCTGTTCTAATCATAAACAAAAATTTTAGTTAACAAAATCAATTGTTTCCAAGTCCTGAAACCAAACCTGGTAAACATCAATTGCATGATGTGTTGTGAGTTTTGCAATTGGTCTGTAGGCCAATGCAGTATTTGGGTATAGCCGTATAGCTACGTAAGGGAGTATGTTTTATGTATGATAGCTCAAATTAAAATTAAATTACTATCATAACATTCTTTGTTTAGCAAATTCCCCTATAGGGAAGACGCTATAACCGTAGGCGGCACGGAAAAACATACCCAGGAACGATGTACTTTTTAATTTTGGTGTCCACAGAGATATTACATACACATGTAGCGTATACATTACCTATTTACATACACATGATTGGTAAATGGTTTAATGACTTATGCTCTGTTAAACACTTGAATAAATCAACATTTTTGGATAGACAATAGCAATAGATAGGATTGTTTGCAAATATTATTTAGTCGTGAAACTAAAATCGAACAACGCTATAAAACGTTATAACATGTTTCGGCTAAAGTTGATTTCGCTGATCCATTACATTTAACGGACCGCTTTGACACATTTTGATAATAGGTTAAAAGCTTTACTCGTGTTCTAAAAGGGTTAAAGTAGAATTTAAACGTTCACATTGATATCATTAACGTGTTTCGTGTTGTATAATGAAAGAGCGTAAAACATTTTGTAACTTAATTGTTAACCTTCTAGGATAAACTTTTTTGATACAAATAGTTTTATTAGTTTAGACTAACAGAGGCTAGGTGAATTTGTTACAGTACTCTATAAGTTACAATGATATTAAAATGGAACTATTTTACAGGTTCTCATAGGGTTTGAAATGACTGTTATGGATAGAATCTTTTTTACCAGGCCTTAAAGTATTGTGTCATAGAGTGACAATTTTCAGGACCGCCCAAAAACGTTTTTGTTCAGTGTATCTTGGACAGAAAAAGGCCTAGTAATCTAACTTTTACAGTATTAAATTAGTTTGTTTCATCGTTGTTCATTGTCGTTAAATAAAAACAAGGCGTGGCTGGCCAAATAGTTAGTGAGTGTCCCCTGCTCTGGAGTCCGAGGTTCAAATCCCGATAATTTCCAATTGAGTAGTTATGTGGTAATGCCGGGATCCTAGGTCTTCACATTTACCTTTCGCCAAGAGACGTTATGCTTAAATGTTAGGTACTGTTACCAACATAAACCCATCAAAAAAAGAACACTACGAAATTGCATTGGTGCATTTCTGGGAATCGTCTCTTCAACTGTATCAAAACAGATTCAGATGTAAGCGAATCTTCGTTATAATTCATTTCCACGAAGCTCTAGCAGGAAAATCACCTCAAACCTGAATTTCCAATTATTCCCAGCCTATCTTTATCTTATACAGCTTTAATTTTAGATGATTCTACAATTCTTGGTTTCCACTAACATTTTCGCATACGAATATCCTTTTAATTTGGCGGATTTCTATAAATGTCAATCTGCTCTTACCATCGATCTCTATGGTTCTTACTCGCAATCGATATATACATTCCAAAGTACCATGAACTTTTAGTTTGAGAAACAACAAGTCACACCCCCCCCCCATAAACCATTTACTTAAAATCTTCGTCATGACGAGAAACCTTGCACACAACTATCCATTATTTCATAAATTGCCCTTTAAGGTCGTAATTCCTTTCTAAAGGGAACTTCCCATATACCTAATGTTAAAAATACCCCAGCTGTACTTATTTGTTTGTTATTCTTTAAATTTATTACCTTACTAGCTGTACCCGCGGGCTTTGCCCCGTTTTACTTCATAAGTGAGCTCGTTCGCATGGCTCAATCACGTCCTGGTTGAAGTTCGTTCGCTACGCTCACTCACCTTTAGGTTGGAGCTCGTTCGCTGCGCTCACTTGCCTTCAGGTTAGCTCGTTCGCTACGCTAACTCGCCTCCAGGATGAAGTTCGTTCGCTACGCTCACTCACCTTTTGGTTGCAAATTAGCTGTTGTCATAGATAAAAAAAAAATAGTGCTGCACCCTGTTGGTAATCCTTGTAAGTTTTTAATGCTTTTGCATATCATAGAATCAACTTTTTAGTTGAAACAGCTGACTAAATTATTTAATTCCCTTGTAATATGAATACTCGTAAGGTTAACATGGGGAACTATAGAGCCACTGGGGCGGAGCCCGAAAGGATTTTTGATATGAGAATATGCCCATATGTTAATCGGGAATGTGAGCTATCATCATGCCAAATTTCAGCAAAATCCGTCCAGTGGTTAATGCGTTCACTTGTCACAAACATACATCCATACATACATCCATACATCCAAACTTTCTCATTTATAATATTAGTAGGATTAAAATCAGGTGTGATTATTTGTTTGTATTACTGTATTCTGTTTTGTTTATTTCAGCTTAACTTAACCAATAAACATTTTTATTCATACTTATGAAGTCAAACGGGGTGAAGCCCTTGGGTAACAGCTAGTTTCAATTAATTCCTTTTTGGGGAATTTTTAACCTGAATTAATTGACACCGTTTCTTGCCTGGGTAAATAATGCAATCCTACTCTGTACCTCAACTGTTACCCCATCTGGTTTATTATCTTATACCAAAGGTCGTCTGTTTCCAGGTGTCTTCACTGGGAAGAGCTGCAGAATGTTATCCTCTTCTGCCTCCAGCGATGGCCGCCGCCTACCTAGCCTACCCTGCACACGCACACGCACATGCACACGCGCAGTACCTCCACAAGACTGAGCCGTTCTTCCTCACCACCCCAGGTATGATATAAGAACTCGATATCATATGGGATGATACCTACCTTCTCCCCTTAATTTTGTAATTTTTATGATTGATGCTCAAGAAATATGATTAATAGTTGTTGTTATTAGTGTTCAACATGTTTTCCATCACAGAGAAGAATAAACTATTATGCCATATAGGTAGTCATGAACGTGACCCATAATTTCTGGAAATTTAAAGGCCAAATATATCTTTGACATTCAAGGTGAGATTACATTTAAGGGAGATGTCTTCGGTATGGCAAGTGATGATTATGATGTCACCGCGATCACGGGAGATGTTTACGATGGTTCCGCAAACTCAGGAAATGATTATGATGTCACCGTAAACGTGGTAGATGCTCTTGCCATGATTACGGGATATGTTTACGATGGCGCCGTGATCGCGGGATATATTTACGATGGCACCGTGATCGCGGGATATATTTAAGATGGCGCCGTGATCGCGGGATATATTTAAGATGGCGCCGTGATCGCGGGATATATTTAAGATGGCGCCGTGATCGCGGGATATATTTACGATGGCACCGTGATCGCGGGATATGTTTACGATGGCACCGTGATCGCGGGATATGTTTACGATGGCGCCGTGATCACGGGAGATGTTCACGATGGCGTTTTAATCACGGGAGATTTTCACGATGGCGCTTTGGTCGCGGGAGATGTTCTTGATGGTTCCGCAAAATCAAGAGATGATTATGATGTCTCCGTGACCGTGGAAGATGATCACGATTGTGCCATGATTGCGGGAGGTCGACGATTATGTGCTACGTGATCATGAGATATGTTCACGATTTTGTCTCACAAACGTGCACGGATTACAGTCATGATGCCATTGTGGAGTATTATTAGCCTACATACACATTACAAAATGTATAATTACTAAAACTAATACTGCTTATGTATTAGTAACCATGTTAAGCCCCTAAACTTTACATAACGGCACATGTTTGTGTTAAGCCAGCAGTTTTAACGTTATAAGACTTTTTTCCATACATAAATTGTACCAAATATTTAATTTAATTTGTCTCTTTTAGAAAACCGTTGGTTATAAGCTTTATATGTTATTGTTATTGTTTATTGTTACATTTCTTTTTAATGCTTTTAGAATTAATTCTTGCTGCAAAAAAACTCTTGTTTTAAATAAGTGCCTGCCAAAAACCGCCTTAGAACTAGTATCTAAATTTTTTGTACCTAGAAAAAAGTTCTGTAAACTTTGTTTGTCATTTTTTACATCTATTGGTCCTCGCTGACAAGTTTTGAAAACTTGGCGAGGCCATGCATGTGAAATCTCAAATAATTATATTTGAATTTGACGAATAGTTTAAGTATAGTTCACTAGGCTAGTGGTTGGGGGGGGGGCGGGGTTAACTATTGTTATTAATTAAACAATTACTTTTACCAAAGATTACATATGCTAACGCAAAATTTTGCGGTAGCATATGTAATCTTTGCTTTTACATTTTATCTCAGCAGTAGACTATGACTAATCAAAGCTTTGTACTTTATCGTGTGGCACTATAAATAGGAATATATTTTACTTCTCATTATTGCCATCTGCAAGAATTTTCAATTAAACATTGCTTACTTTTAGCTAATCCTTACCACACTCGAACGTAATCGGCCAGGATATTATATCAAATTAGACTTCATATTTCACAAAAGGATAAGAACAATACTTTCAACACCCTAAGTCAATGTCTACATCCAAGTTTTCTAGATGTAACCTACAATAAATTAAAAATTAACACTACATTTTATCTCACCACGATACAAAGACTGTTCAAACTTTCGCACCTTTTCGTGTGTCAATTGAACTATTTCCTATATGGTCATCCGTGAGAGCTTTCCCCATTTGCAGGTCTACCATTCGGCTCACTGTTCACCGGCAGCGCGGCAGACTACAGCAGTAAACACTGTCGTCGACGCAAGGCCAGGACGGTGTTCTCGGACCACCAGCTGACGGGGCTGGAGAAGAGGTTCGAGGCCCAGAGGTACCTGAGTACTCCGGAGCGAGTGGAACTAGCAACGGCTCTGCAACTGTCGGAAACCCAGGTAAGGAAGTGTTGGAGATGAGAAATACAGTTGAAGCTGTAAATATATAGCGGATAAGCTAGGATTTGTGGTTACTGGAGGGAAATTTAACCACAAAGGCTTGTGAAGGAATTCATATTGATTCGATGCTCCACGTTTTCTACAGGGTGTCCCGGAACTCTCTACCAATATTTTAGGGCATTGATCCTTGGTAAGAAACGTACCTAAATATCATATTAAAATTGTCCGGAAGTCCTTAGTTACTCACACAGGCACCATTTTGTTTTTTCAGTTATTAATTTTTTTTTTTAAAGATTGGATAAACATACGAAATGGAAACTTTGCACAAACATTTATGACAACTAGAAAAAGCTACAAAAAAATTATGACGATTTTTCATGTTCATAAAGCAAAATGGCGGTCATTTACATTTTTTTTTTCTTTAACACTATTCGTGCTGTCGACATGTTTGAACATAAAAGTTGCATCTATTTCAATGTTAAGCAATTGCGGGAATTCCCGTCATCAGCACCCAACGTGTTAATAGCTCAAAAACCATTGATTTTACCAAAAATTTAAATGGCCACCATTTTGTTTTATGAATTTGAATAATCGTGACAATTTTTTGGTAGCTTTGTCTAGTTGTCATTAATGTTTGTGCAAAGTTTCCATTTCGTATAATTAACCATTCTTTAGAAAAAAATTAAAAACTGAAAAAAACAAAATGGCGGCTGTGTGAGTAACTATGGACTTTCGGACAGTTTAAATATGATATTTAGGCACGTTTCTTACCCAGGATCAATGCCCTAAAATATTGGTAGAGAGTTCCGGGACACCCTGTATAAATAGTATATTTAGTTTTAACATCAGTAATAGACATGTTACAGAGTGATATACGCATACTTCCATTATATTCACCAACTTGTTAATTTAATTCTCAGGTAAAAACGTGGTTCCAAAACAGGAGAATGAAGCACAAAAAACAGTTACGAAAGTTAGCCGAGGATAAGAATCAACCAGGAAAGTCTTCATCGGTGATTTCTAGTTCGACAGGTCTGGGTAGGTATATTACATGTGTAAACTAGGTTTACTCCTCATTTATGTAAATTTACAAACTCGGCTGGCCATTTTACGTATAATTTGATGTCATTTTACTTTAAGGCCAAGCATTGAACATGTTCTTAGTGTATTGATAGCTACATTGGAATTGGAATGTTTAAGAAGTAAAATTAAACTTTGCTCGAAGTCATACGGATAACTATTCTATCGCTGATTTTAAAGTTTGGAGTATTATTATCATTATCATTTAGGATAGATGCCACCTAGGGGGGTATTTTAACGCAAATATGAGTGAAGGATGAGTGTGGAACGGAGTGTGATGCCTTGTATAGCTTTGTTATTGACTAAGAACAGATGTTTCATTAGCCAGGACCATTGAAGCCTGAAGATCAGGGACAGCTGGGTCCAGTATCGGACCATCAAAAAGTTACACACTTTTGTCAGGATCGAACCGGCGACCTTAGGATTCCTAGGCGAGCAGTACAAGAATCTTGTATAGGTTTAGCTTACTATGTATGGTTGATAAATGATTCTTGATTCAGTGAGACTATTCAAAAATTTTTTAGCAACACACTAAGATTTTAATTATATTATATATTTTATATTAAAGAAGTTAATTTTTACACCATATTTTTGTTGCAATTAATTAGATAAATCAACGCAAAATTCGTTCGTATACTACCATTAGAAGGAAAATCGAAGCGATTTGAGTAATAACTAAAACACTCCAATCGCAACTCAATTAGCCGTCCAATTAACTAAACCTAATTAAACCCAATTAAATCTTCTTGAGCCAGAATTGGAATAAAGTAGCGCTTAGGAGACAAAAGAAGAGTACTTAGAGGAGGGGAAGGAATGAGCTAGACGAAGAGGAATTAAAATTAAAACAGTCCGTTAACTCGATTGTTGGCCTTTGACAAGAGTTGGCCAAGTTTGACTTAATTGTGCCTCTTGCTTGGCTTTGACTTGCCAACTTGACTTGGCAACTTAACTTGTCAACTTTACTTGGCAACTTGGTGACCACTGAGCGACTAATTAGCCTGCCTCCGATCTTCAGTGCTTTAGTGTTTAGTGTTTTAGTGCGCAGCGTTATAAGTTTGCTTCCGATTTTCAGTGCTTTAGTTTTTTCTGAGCGTGACCGAAGATTTCGCCGCTGTTTAAACGTAACGTTTTTAATCGTGTATTAGTGTCAACTAGAATGAACTAATTGCTTAAGTTAAAAGTATGTGGTCATTTATGCCCCGATGATTTATTTCCACTATATATAAATTCTCCAATGCCTTAGTGTATAGTACTTGCATACGCCTTGTCTATGTTCTAAACAGGTTCAAATATTTATTTACAACTACTTTAAACGTGACTTTTTTGTAATTAATTTCAGCTGAAAGAGAGATCTTCAAGTGTTGTGAATATTTTTATCATGATGATACATTTTATTTCTAGATAGTTTTACACTATGTAGCGGAAACTTGAACGTTCATGAGAAAACTATGAATCTTCACAATTCACAAAAATTTTACTGTAATCGTTAACTATGGCTACACTTTAATATCCCCAAGTCAACTGTATAAATAACCCTTTATACAGTTTTACAGTTAGAGTTTGATATACTCTATTTTGATAGATATTACATAAGTAGTTCGTTTAGGAAATGTAAAAATGGAGAATTATCATTAAGTACTGTATTTTAGGCCAGATTATCAATTGTCAAGAGTATATGATTTTTAGTAAATGGTGCCAATAATTTATTATCTTAGTTTTCCCGATTGTTATTTATCACAAATATTCACATTATTCGAGACCACACATTCTGATTTCGATTATACAAAAATGTTTGGTCAATATTCATCTAATTTATTTGCATCGCATGTTACGCACAATGATATTACTGTAAATTTAGAATTACAGTTCCTTAAGCGTTTTATTTTGACGATACATTTGACCAGATGCTTAAAACTCTATAGTATTTACTCAATACGATTGGATGAATAGCTTGTATTTTAAAAGGTCCTTGACCTACAGTATAACGATCGTAGTTTTAATATTTCTGCTAACATTAAAAAACTCAATAAAAAACTTTAGTAAAAAAATACTAATGGTACATATGTATTATCATGTATGTATGTATATTGTATTATCACATATGTATTCTCTTATGATATTTTAAAAACTGTGACTTTATTTGAATACATCGTAAAAGACTGTAATGAAGTGTTTCAAAAGACCTGAGGTAAACACCAGGAAAGGTACTCGGTGACATGAGGGAAAAGTGCGCAGGACTTTCGCTGGGTACTGGGTACCTTCCCCCACTCTCGAAGCACTTCCTGGCCCTATATAAGGAGCATCCTTGGGGGACTTCGTCAGTTGGGCCTCCGGGCCCGCCCCCGCCGGTAGGCGCCACCGGTGGGTCCCTTCCCCGCACTAGAGGCGTGTTGAGCTCGGTGCATCCCGTCCCCCAGCACTAGAGGCGTGTTGAGCTCGGTGCTTCCCGTTCCTCAGCACTAGAGGCGTGTTGAGCTCGGTGCATCCCGTCCCCCAGCACTAGAGGCGTGTTGAGCTCGGTGCTTCCCGTCCCCCAGCACTAGAGGCGTGTTGAGCTCGGTGCATCCCGTTCCCCCGCACTAGAGGCGTGTTGAGCTCGGTGCATCCCGTCCCCCAGCACTAGAGGCGTGTTGAGCTCGGTGCATCCCGTCCCCCAGCACTAGAGGCGTGTTGAGCTCGGTGCTTCCCGTTCCCCCGCACTAGAGGCGTGTTGAGCTCGGTGCATCCCGTCCCCCAGCACTAGAGGCGTGTTGAGCTCGGTGCATCCCGTCCCCCAGCACTAGAGGCGTGTTGAGCTCGGTGCTTCCCGTCCCCCAGCACTAGAGGCGTGTTGAGCTCGGTGCTTCCCGTCCCCAGCACTAGAGGCGTGTTGAGCTCGGTGCTTCCCGTTCCTCCGCACTAGAGGCGTGTTGAGCTCGGTGCTTCCCGTTCCTCCGCACTAGAGGCGTGTTGAGCTCGGTGCATCCCGTCCCCCAGCACTAGAGGCGTGTTGAGCTCGGTGCTTCCCGTCCCCCAGCACTAGAGGCGTGTTGAGCTCGGTGCTTTCCGTTCCCCAGCACTAGAGGCGTGTTGAGCTCGGTGCATTCCGTCCCCGCACTAGAGGCGTGTTGAGCTCGGTGCATTCCGTTCCCGTACTAGAGGCGTGTTGAGCCCGGTACATTCCGTTACTGTACTAGAGGCGTGTTGAGCTCGGTGCATCCCGTCCCCCAGCACTAGAGGCGTGTTGAGCTCGGTGCTTCCCGTTCCCCCGCACTAGAGGCGTGTTGAGCTCGGTGCATCCCGTCCCCCAGCACTAGAGGCGTGTTGAGCTCGGTGCATCCCGTCCCCCAGCACTAGAGGCGTGTTGAGCTCGGTGCTTCCCGTCCCCCAGCACTAGAGGCGTGTTGAGCTCGGTGCTTCCCGTCCCCAGCACTAGAGGCGTGTTGAGCTCGGTGCTTCCCGTTCCTCCGCACTAGAGGCGTGTTGAGCTCGGTGCTTCCCGTTCCTCCGCACTAGAGGCGTGTTGAGCTCGGTGCATCCCGTCCCCCAGCACTAGAGGCGTGTTGAGCTCGGTGCTTCCCGTCCCCCAGCACTAGAGGCGTGTTGAGCTCGGTGCTTTCCGTTCCCCAGCACTAGAGGCGTGTTGAGCTCGGTGCATTCCGTCCCCGCACTAGAGGCGTGTTGAGCTCGGTGCATTCCGTTCCCGTACTAGAGGCGTGTTGAGCCCGGTACATTCCGTTACTGTACTAGAGGCGTGTTGAGCCCGGTACATTCCGTCCCCGCACTAGAGGCGTGTTGAGCTCGGTGCATTCCGTCCCCCAGCACTAGAGGCGTGTTGAGCTCGGTGCTTTCCGTTCCCCAGCACTAGAGGCGTGTTGAGCTCGGTGCATTCCGTCCCCGCACTAGAGGCGTGTTGAGCTCGGTGCATTCCGTTCCCGTACTAGAGGCGTGTTGAGCCCGGTACATTCCGTTACTGTACTAGAGGCGTGTTGAGCCCGGTACATTCCGTTCCGGCACTAGAGGCGTGTTGAGCCCGGTGCAGCTGGTTGGCGTGTTGAGCCCCAGCATCCGTTTATTTCAGTTTAAGTCCCCGGTGGCCAATGGAGCTGCCTCCCGGGACCATGAATCCGTATGGAGGGGGATTAAGAGGCCCACCTCCACTATGTAAGAAGAGTGCCGTCTAGGAGAGAGGGCAGTCGACATCCGTCAGCGTTGCTGGCGACATCGCGAGGAGCTGCTGCGCTTGGGACAGCGATCCGCCCAGCACTTCTCGGACAGTCCGCATCCGACAGTGGGACAGGCAACTTCGTAAGGAGCTGCTGCGTTTGGGCTCTTGTTGGTGAGCCGCCCAGCACTTCTGGAGACAGAGGAGTCGACGTCCGACAGCGAGACTGGTGGCATCGTGTGGAGTTGCTGCGTTTGGGCTCTGGTTGGTGAGTCGCCCAGCACTTCCCGAGACGGAGCCAGTTAGAGGACTGCAGGAGCTGAGAGAAGAGGACTGCAGGAGCCGAGAGGAGAGGACTGCAGGAGCCGAGAGGAGAGGACTGCAGGAGCCGAAAGGAGAGGACTGCAGGAGCCGAGAGGACTACAGGAGCCAAGGAGAGGACTGCAGGAGCCGTGAGAAAAGGTCTGCCTGAGCCGAGAGGAGAAGGGTAGAGCCGTGCTGTTAGGACTCCTGAGAGCCGTGGAGCAAGTGGGAGAAGCCACAGGTTGGGCTTCACGAACAGAAGAGATTTGTATATATTGTGTATAGTTTTTGTGTAAATAGTCCTGAAATAATAAATGTGTTGTAATCCATGCAAGTGTTCAGTCAATCTGAGTCCTAAAATCCCCGAAAAGGTCTGAATGCTGTACAAAGGTAAAAACCTGAGAAAGTACGTTACAAGACTTACATGATAAATTATAATCAAAAACGTATAAATTGTTACTTTTCCATATTAGTGGTAAATACATTCTAAGTAGAAAGATATTCAAATAATGTTATCTTTTTGTACAAAGACTGTAAAGGTTTAAAATGTATTTCGCCCCTCAAAATGTCGGCTTGGCCAGGTACGGGTGTGTTTTGAGGGGTGGTTTGAGTGGGGGGGGGGGGGGTACGATAGAGAAGCAAACTCTATTTCCCTTATCCGATAAAGCTACAAACTCGCTCAGCCGAGAAATCGCATTCAATAACTTCAAAGAACGACTTTCAATGCGGTGCGATTTTACCCGATTCTGCTCGGATCGCTCCATACTTTCAGAGTTTTCACAAAGGATGTATCAATCCAGTTATAGGTCATTGACTTTGGATAGTGAAGTAGACTTCTGAGAAACGTCAGCACTGTATGTTGCTCGAATTGGTCCGTCATTGTTTTTTGTTTGGTATTCTTCCTATATCGTTAAGTATTTAATAAATTACTACAAAATATTTAGCAAATACATGTACTGTAGGAAGCTAAAAGCTTTTTTTTTTAAACAAATCAAGCTTTTGAATTAAGAGTTCAAATAATGCTATGTCTGTTACGTTAACATTTCAACAAATGAATGAATAGGGTACATCACTATCGCTAGTTACTAAAATTCGGTTATCCATCGAACCTTTGTAATGACAAGGTGTATTTTAAACACAAATATAAATTGGAGTGTTGGATGAGTTAGATGCTTTGCGTAGCTTCCTTTACTTACTGAGATCAGCTGTCTATTTAGCTATGGTCATTTATTAAAAACCGAATAATCTAGGGTGGATGGGTCCAGTCTTGAATCATGAAGTTCTTGAATTTTATTCTGATGACCTTCAATTTGTTAGGGAAACTATTAAAATTCACTACTCAGATGACAAACGAAAATTTCTCAAATAGTTAACTCATGTGAATAAATGTATTTTAAAATGCGCTACGACGCGTCGACTTTCTCCACACATGAAAAATCTAAGAGTTAAATTGGAATTGGACGTAAGAACTTAAAAATTAACTTTATCTTTCAGATCATCCTGTTGACTTCTCTCAAGGCGGAGGGAAGCTGATGATGTACTCCGGTGACGACGCGACAGACTCCGAGGACGAGATCATAGACATCGTAGGGGAGAACACCCGATACCGTCAGTGAAGACCGAGGGAACGCCGAAGAGTCGCAACTACGCAAATAGTAGAGAAGGGACAATTGGAGTACAGCTAGAGTAACACATACCCAAATCAATACAGAAGTTGCTAAATAATTATAAAAATCGTTTTACGTGTGGTGTGAGAGCAGAACGATTCGTACAAATGTAAGTGAGGATGTGAGAGTTTCTAAATCGCAAAAAGATAAAAAAAATCATTGTACAGTAATACTTATTTTTTTGTGGTCAAAATGTGTACTTCTACTTAGTTTGCATTGACTATTGGATGTTAGTCAAATGATAAAAGGAAGTGGAAAATGGTTTTAAACGAGTCTTCAAAAATTGAGATCTATAAATATAGATATTGTGACATTACATTATGATTATATAAAAAAACAAATACTTTATTTGAAATGAAAATACATATAATGAAAATATATTTTACGTGTACCAATGGGAATACTACTGTATATTTACCATTTAAGAGGCAAGGTGACTTTTCGACGCAATAAGATAGGCCTACTTTGGTTTGGTGTATTGAACTATATTTAATTATATTACACAATTAATTAAGTTAAGTAGGCTACATCATAATACGAAAAATATGTTTGTCTTTCACCTTAAATTTCCAAAAGGTTATATTTCTAAGTTTTGCTATAAAAACGAACAGTTGTTCCCAATGTATTTTAATACTTCAAAGATTTCATTTATTTTTTTCGTTCCTAAAGAAAGTGAATGAATCAGTTGCTACTAGGATGGTTGTGAGGATTTTATGTTCAATTGTCTGAAATATGTTTATACTTTAATTAGGCAAACTATCGATTAAGTTGAAAATAAAATATAAAATTTAACTCGATAATTTACACAAATAAATGCAAATAACGATGTGATAGAGTAATGAATTTTAAAATTGGAACTATTTTCGTTCCCAAATTCAGTGGACCAAGTCAACAAAGGAAATTATTGATATCTAAATGTCCTCCTTTCAAAATGATTAGTTCTGTGTAAATAATTAGGTCACCAAGGAAAGGAAATTGTGTAATGAAATGTATTTTTATGGCAGAGAAAAAAGGGTAAATAGTTGTAGATGTAAACACAAAGTTGTAATAAGGTTGGTTATCAATATACCAATCTATAATGGATTTTGTAACCTGAAATACATAATATTTATTAGTAGTTTTACCTTTTGTACATATGAAAGCAGAACATTTTCACATGGCTAAAATTATGTACATTTTCTAGACTCTATCAAACTGATACGCCCATTTCTGATTCCTATTTTTGTTTTAAAAATACAGAAATTATAAATTCGTAATATGTAATTTCTTTAAATTAATAAATGAATAACTTTTTATATCCTTGCCAAACCTGAACTTTCAATACTGTTATCTTCAATCTGCACCAGGTATTAAATTGTAAAATATCTCTTTCTATTTGACAATACTTAGGAAACTAATTTGAGATATTTTTTAAACCTGACTTTACTCATTGACAGTAAAGTTCTTTGCTTGATAATTTTCCCGGTGGTATTTACAAATTTGGATCGTTAAATGTTCAACTTCATCATTTATATGTGTTGAATTTTATAATGTCAAAAGGTAAATTTTAACAGTAAACATTTGAAATTGTCTGCATTACTTCAGTAACAAATTTTCTCTCATATCATTATTGTATATTGCATTTAGATACTAATACAATGTAAATCATGTAACTGTTGTATAAAATGTAAATATTGATCTGTCGTGAACCTGTACTTAATATTGTCGTACACTGTTTATGTACAAAATAAAAGTTACCAAGTCACAAGAACAATGTGTTAATCTCCTTACGTCGTTACTTTTCATGTCATTAAAATATGTTAACGAGATAGCTAGTCAAAGTGTTGGTAAAACTTGGCTTAAGAGAGGCATTCTTAAACATATAACGATTAACGAAACATAAAGAGTATAAAATAATTAGAGAATCTTTTACTTATTATTTACTGTAATAATTTACTGAATTCAACAGAATCACCACAGTTTGATGATGTATCTTTGAAATGAAATTAAATCAACTACATGACACTCAACTTTTACGCCCCAACCAAATAGGAAAATTCGTCAAAACCGAGTTGTGAAATATATATTATCCATCTATCTATCTATAATATTAAAACGTGATAGGGTTTTTTTATTTCACGATTCTGAATCAACCACTTGACGGATTTTCATGATTTTTTTGTTGAAAGAAAGATAATTTTGAGAACTAGGGAATGTCGAAGCCATAATTTTAGTTTAGGGTTTCAGTTTTTTGGAAATTAAGTTTAAAATTTTTTAAAGTCTAGCAGCCGACGCTAACATTCTACCATTGACTATTCAAAGATTCTACTCTAGCTTTTGGTATAATTAAATTTGCTTAACGTAACAGCTGTAAACATTCCGCGTTTTTCGACACAAATTCAGCTTTTGGATGAAAATGAAATGACATACGTAGGGTTGACTTATTTATACTATGTGTAATGCTATAAACATTGATACGTTTATTTAATCGGTAAGAGAATGAGAGTTTATTTAAATAAACATAGTAAAATAATATATGTTCTAATTTATTTTTTTGAGCAGTCTTTAAAAGTTTGTTTTAGTGAAATATAATTTGTTATAACTAACAGCTGGTTGAAAAAAAAAATATTCTATATATTTATGAGGTTAGTTTATTTACTCTGAGATTTTGTCATTGATTAAAGGAAATAAGTAAGATTCTATAACCATTGCTGTATACGAATCGAAGCTCACGAATCTTCAATGGAAAGCTTATGAAAATTATTTTACTATTCGACTTTTTGAGGAAAGGTTGGGGAAATAACAATGATCTCATGTTTTAACTCATCTTGGAAGCTTTTTCTTTACTATCAATTTAAACTGCTTAAACTATGCCTGAATTAGTAATAGACACACTATATACAGTTTTAATGTACTACTCAATTCCCGTACGTAGGACGGGCCAACAGCTCGTCTAACTTAAAAAAAGATTCTCAGTCTTGTATTAAATCTGCCTAAACGTGTTTTATGATGTTTACCTATTGCAATTAACAGCAAGTAACAGTCATTATATTTATTTATTTTTGTGTTTCCAACATTTCGTTAGGAGACGTCAAAAAGAGTAAATTTTCTCTCTCCAGTTTTAAAACCTCTTTTGCAAAAAGTCACTTAAACCTGAAACAGTAACGAAAACAGAAACTTGGTTTAAGATCTGTCCTCAGTGTTCACAATTGTAGGACCATTTGTGAGGTAAGGTAATTATTACTGTACTGGTATTGGGGATTTCGTTTTACAAAAACCCATAACTGAAAATCATGTATGAGTCATTGCCATGACTCTTTACTTAACAACCAAAGTTATACAAGAAAATGCGAATAATCATTTTCCACTTCCAAAATACTGTATACGTCACAACGCCATAAACCCACGATAAACCTATTGCAACCTTTTAACCCGGGAATCATGCCGAAACCAAATTTGTCAATTTGGGAAATTTTGTCAGACAGGATTAAGGTTGGCTAAACTGCCATGTAATGTAATCACTAGAGGGGGGGGGGGACAAAGGTGGGGCGGCTATGTTATTAAAGCACCCTTGAGCTGGTTACACCCCCTGTGTTATCTCCCTTTATCTTGATCGCGAAAATTAAACATATCACACTCTCTTTGAGCTGCCACCTTGCATTAGCTCTGGTTAGTCGAGGCTTTGATTCGCCTCTTAGTGACTTTAGACGCCTTCTAGTGCTTGCTGAGCCGATTGCGAAATGACTATTGCACCGAAATCATTGTACAAATGGAAGTGTCCAAAGGATTTTCTGTGGTTTTGATATGCAAACAGATAGTTTGAGAAATATTGTAATTATGCATAAAATAACAATCAATGATACTACACCTAGTTTGGATGTTTGTATCTCGAAATAACGCAATGAATCTGAAAAGGATTTAACAATTCCGGAAATTTGGGTTAAGTAAAAATTCGATTTTATTTTAAGCTACTAAAAGTTTTTAGTATACAATGATGTTTTCATTTTTGTGATCAGACTATGACACATTTTGTGCGTTATGAGTTGCACAGTTGTTGAAAGTTTAATAGAATAGCTAGACACATTAATGATTTTGATTTTATTGTTTTGTTTAATAGTTTTTGTTCTTGAGGAGTGGAGACCAAAGTAATACATTGAAAATTACCTGACATACGGAGGATTACAAATCTCATAAAAAGAGAAACAAATAGAAAACTACATCAAACACTATGCGTCTGTGTCAAAAAAGGGAAAAAGGGAAGAATAGTTGGTATAAGTGGCCTAGTTAAGCTCATGGAGTAAATTATACAAAGTGATCACTATCTAGAGTCAATTTTAAGGTGACTTTCATGTTTCATAAGGTTTTTATGCGCAGGATGGTTTATTGTTTACAATTTATATTTAACTTATTTTATCACGATTTTAAATTTTGTTTAGAAACTTGTGTGATATAATCAAACAAAATAAATAGGCCATTGCCAGCAGCTCAGCAAAGTATGAAGTGAAATTACATTATTTGTGAAGTTACAATATTATTTTAATTCAAGTATCCCTCATCCATACCAATAATGTACAATTTTTACTTATTTTTACTACGTGTCATTATTTCCACCCAAGTTTCGCTTATCCATAGTGATATGCCGATATGAAGGGTTGTCAAGGAGCTGTTTGTCCCGTATATAATGATCTAAGGGCGAAGGGTCAATTGTTTCCTATACAAAGGCTCTTATCGCTAAACAAAGGTACTCCAAGGAGGGTGGAGCGGGTCAAATTTAAACACTGACTTGTAACAGATACCTTCGATTAAAAATTAGGGCGCCACGATGCCACGGGGCGTCTTGAAAAAAAAATAGTGTTAGGTTACGTTATGTAATAGATTAGTTCTTGGTAAGTAGTTGAAAGTGTTTTGATATTGCATAGGGGAAAATAGTACACAAAATAATACTTGAAAATATAAACGTATCAGAGTAGATCGGAAGTAATTTTAGTCCTATTTCCTATTTTCCAAGATATCTTGTTTTGACTCCACGGTATAGAAAAAAGTCTTAGTGTTGTCCGTTTAGTGTACAATTTAAGTTATTACTTAAGTGCAGTCAAAATATTTGTACTATAATTTTGGTATTTAATAATTCCTTACTTTTACATTCGGTTAACTGGCAATAACGATCGTTCTGTCAATTACTATTTTTTGTTTTTGTTGTTGTTTTTTGTTGTTCTGTGATCTTTTGTATTTTTTGCCAAAGTGTAAAAGAATACAAACACTTTAGTGAAGCAGACTTCTTTCTCTTAAAATAAGTATAAATTTTTTACGACTTTAATGTGACCAATAAAAAAATATGGTTAAATACATCATACAAAATTTTTAAATTAACTAGACACCATCTAACCCTGATTGAAAGCATATTCTAATAAATTATTAAAATAAAATATACTGTGATTGTCATGGGGTAGGACTACAGAGTCTGGTTAATATTATATTATATCAACCCAATCACTAGTTGGTTTTTAAGTACTTTAGAGAGGATTAAAGTACAGACTATAATAGTAAACGTATTTTAATCTATAGTCTGTGGTTCGAGCTATTCTGAATGTTCACTTGTTAAAAGTCTTATTTACCAAACTCTTTGGTCAAACAATTTATGTATGTTTTTCTTGGGTTTAAATAAATTTACGATACAAGTTAAGAAAGTTTTTTTGTAACAAACGATGTAATAGAACTGTGAAATGTATATAAAACACATATAAAAATTTTCATAACTGTATGGACAGTAAATTTTACAAGGTATTTGTCTACAATTTAAAAAAAATTAAGGCTATAATCGTATTTTTACCATCAATTGCACACTACCAAATTTTCATATACAAAATAAATATAATATTTAGCCAGAAACCATGTTTGTACGCTGTAAAAGTTAGAAGGCTGGATTAAAATAAGTCACTACTATAATGGTATTTGTAAAAAATATATTTTACATTTACTAACTGTATCTCCAAAAATTACAGTGGTCTCAAAATAGATTAAACATTTTCAAACACAATAGATAAAACCGGATAAATTCTGATATCATACTGTTTAAATTTACTTTGTTTTCATAAATAAAATAAAATAAAGGCTTTATACATGATTAAAAATAAATAATCTGGTAGTTCAGTAAAAAAGACTATTTAAAATTACAATACCAAGATGAACTATTTAAGTATCAACACCAGTATAAACACCTCTCAAAGAGTTCTATTCACAAAATGACGCCCTTTCCATAGTTAAAATAATTTTTACAATTCACTAGTTTATATATACAGTATTGATTACACTATGGAATACAAGTTTTACAACTTTAACAAAATTCATTCATTGTATCACATTCACATTGTAATATAGTAAAAGGTAAAAATAGTACACCTCTTTTTTTATATACAAGGTAAGTTTTTTTGGTGAAAAGACTAGAGTTTTTGAAACACATTGCTTACTTCATCACTTATCAGTCTTGATTTGTGTTTGACGATTTTTGCTGGAACACAATATTAATATTTTTCACTTTTAAATCCTTAGCCACAAGATTGTAATACCTTGAAATGAAAGATGTGATTATGTTTTACTAGAGTTCTTCTTATCCTATCAAATATAATTTTAATAATTTATACTGTACTATAACTAGTGCATATAGAGTGTTTAAAATGGTTAGGTTTGCGTTTGCGGTTAAGTACAACTTCTTGAACATCATGCATCATGACCATCTGACAATATTTTTCCACAAATACACTAAAATAAAAATGATACATTACTCATGTATTAGGTAGATTTTGTATTATTCATTCATGTCCAAAACCTATATCACACATTAAAACATGTCGAAACACGATTAAGGTGAAAACTTTATCAGTGAAATTTAACTTTGGTTAAACATATTTAAGGTAGGGAGGAAATAACTTTAAATTTTTACTGGGGAATAAGAGTTAAATTTCATTACAAAATGGAAAAGATTTGTGCTTTTTTTTGTCATGATCCTTCACATCACTTTCCTACATCAATTTACAAGGATCTCGATCTCTTTTCATGTTATTTTATGTCACGTCACAAACAGAAAAAATACTTTTTATAACAATGGCCATGATCGCTTAATTTGGTCATTAATTGTGCTTAAACTATGCTACGTTTCACACTTCTCTTGAAAGTTTGCGGTAGAAAACATTTAAAAACCTAGATTTCATCTTGTGGCTATTCAAAACGAAAATTTTAACTTCAGAACCGTCTGTTTCTCCTTAGCTTTCTCATTCTTACTGATCGCCTTTGCAAAGCAAAAGCCAAGATAACGAGCATCGCTGCCAAAACACTCAGAGCGAGCAGCACAGCGAGCATCAGAGGAGAAGAAGACAAAGTGACGAGCAAGGGATGAGCATCGGAACTACGAGCCTTGGCTGTCAACATGGCCTCCTTGTTGGTGCAGAGCGCTGCTTCGCCATGGTACAACCAGTGGACCAGACGAGTTCCTTGGAGATTCTCAGGACTTGCACATCTGGAACAGTTGAGTGTTAAAAGTGTAGGCTGTTGGAACTGCTTTCTAAGTATTGTATTACTGAGACCAGCAGTTTCATTAGGATCATTTATGAAAAGCCCTGATCAAGGACAGCTGGGTCCGGTTACCTCCCGCTATCTCCGCGTCCCGCCATCTCCGTGTACCGCTACCTCCGAATTTCAGAGTGACTCCTATAATCCTCGGTTACTTCCTGCGTTAAGACTTTCCGTCTAACCTAACCTAACTTAACTTAACCTAACCTAACCTAACCTAACCTAACCTAACCTAACCTGACCTAACCTAACCTAACCTAACCCACGGGTTAAATTTTCATTAAATCTTCCATCCACGGGGCTTCGCAGCCGTGGATGCAATGACAGCTATCAACGTAGGCAGTGATGGGATTATAAGGGTCACTCAAGAATTCGGAGATGGGGGGACAGATTTGGGTTCGGAGATGGCGGAACGCGGAGATAGTGGGAGCACACGCTGGGTCCAACCATGAAATAACTAACCTTTCTCAGGATCGAACCGGTGACCTTTTGATTACCAGGCGAGCACTATAACCACTTACACAGCTATCTTGAATATCCTGATAACATGGTAATCTAGCTAATAGATGACAGGAGCGAATGCACGTAGAACCATTCTTCGTCACGGTTTGTCCAAAGGCACCATCCGCTCAAAAAGACTCTACACAGACTGGTTTTTTGCTTTGGTTGAACATAATCTAAACATAAGGTACTTTGCATATCAGAGGTCTTAAATAACAAGCTGGCCTGACCTGAAGTACTGTGGCAAAAATTGTAGTGCTAAATTACAGTACTGCAGGTATTTTGGTGAGTCCCAGGACCAGGGTGATTAGGAGTCTCCTAATATGTTACCTATGGGTGAAAAGAACATTTATTTTTTCTTCGCCAAATACCTTTAGATTTTTGGTATGAAGACAGCTATGAAGGTTCCGAAGTTTTTCAAATGTGCATTAAAAAAGATAATACTTTATGAACGATTTTGGTTACTGAAATACACATTTCAGTTAAACATTATCTGCAGCAAATGCTGACTTAAGCCATTATTGAATCATTGAATTTAGTAGCGTTCCAAAAATTAGTAGACCTACATTTTATCAAATTTTGGTGATACCAATTTTTTTGGTGTGTAAGCATTAAAAGTTCATAGATGTCAGAAATAATACAAACTTCATTGGTTCAACTCACCTAACATCGTCTAGCAGAGACTGATGATACTTGTAGATAGTAGGCACAAGTGACGTCACCATCCACTGCAACGCACAGTCACAATGCCAAGGGTTGTGTTGAAGATCAACCCCTACCAAGGAGTTCCAGGGTAGCAGCCCTTCTGGTAACCATCGCAGTTTGTTGTGGGAAAGATCCAACTGAATAAAAAACCAAGTTAGTTATTGCTTTTTTGGATACTGAGTTAGACAACATGTTAAAGTTGCCACCTGTTTTTTAACCGAAATCGTCGTGGTTGATGTAAGCCGTCGACAGATTGGGCTGATGTATATTACTTTCTGTTGAATACACGAACATTTTTACCAAGTCAAACTGATGGAACGACGTACTTTATTGTGAGTTATAGCAACTGTTATGACCCATCAACATAAAATAGGGTAGACAGTAGAATTTTAGACAGTTGCACATTCTCTATGTGACTGGCCCACAACTACGTTCTTGTATAATAAAAAAAATTGCGTCACCTGGTCTATATAGATGGGATGTCTTCCTCAGTAGTTAATATTCAATGCTTTAGTTTATAGAAATTATAGTTTCTTCATGTTTTCAACCAGCTGTGTCACAGCGAGGAGCGAAGGGCTCAAGGAGATTAGATTTATATGATTTATCAGATTTATACACTCCAGAGTGCGTATTTTTAGGTGAATGATGAGGGTTGAATTGTTGAATGATGTGTTGAATGACATGATAGCTGTGTGACTGACTTTAATCAGCTGATCATCAATGTTTAATGTTTAATGTTAATGTATCAATGTTTAAGCAAATTAGTGCAATCATTGTAACTTTCTTCCGTTAACGTTTGGAAAATGGTTTCAAGTTTGTACGAGTGATAGTTTAAGTAAATTTGACAGACTTTCAAACTAAAAAGATAAAAATCTAACTGAAAAGAACTAAAAAAAACCTATTTGTAGACAACTGAGCGTGTATTGTAACTTTTCCCCTTATAAAGACAGGACGTTTATTTAGTCCACACTAATGCTCTTGAGTGTTATCAGACATTGAATACATATTATGCATAAAACTGAGCATAAGATTCTACAAAAGGTGTGGGTTCTAGGTGATAAAGCCAAATTAAATGCTTCCACGTAATCAAAAACTCTGTTGATCAATAGAAGAAGAATACAAATTTGTATTCTCATTTACCAATACCTTTTACCTAACTATTTCTCCTATTACAGCTAACTGTAATAATACTAAAAGACAATTTTTGTATCAAGCAAGTATAATTAGCTAGACAATTACTTGTAAGCGGGAGTTCTTAAATAATTGAGACAAACAATTACCTCAAAGGTGGGACTAATTGCAAAAGAATAACATAAGCTAGCACGTGGCTCTTGAGAAATACATCAGCAGAAACGTCCCCTCTAATTAAATAAATGAGATTGTCAACACACTTCAACGTTACTTTGAATCTTGATGGAAATGGAGAATGCAGCCGAGCTTTTTCCTTTGTCTTTTGTTTCAAATGCATCTTACTTGTTCCTTTCAATGGTGTGCTAGATTTATCATAAAACATGTGAATATGCAGGCTCAGATTAATCAAACTCTCATAGAGGTTTCATAATATTTACTAGCCAATCAGTGGCTATACTGAATACTGAAAACCCTTCACAATTCTCCCAATTTGTCTGTGTGACACAAGAATGTTTTTAGTTGTCCCCCAGACATTCGATTTAAAAATTTTAGTTTTGTGGTTACAGTAATTTATAAACAAACAATATGAACTAGAACGTTTGTTATAAGTTGGTTCTGTTAAATACTGAACAGTATGCGATCACGTGGTGTAAACGTCAATATTGCCAAAACATCCAACTAAAGTACATGGATTCTGTGGTACAGTAGTATGCTTGCATTGATTAAAAGCCAAATCTTCCCACTTCCAAGACTTGTTTAGATATTAATATTCCAATATTAAGTAGATACATTGGTTATGAATGTAGGTTGTCTAGCTTCGACTAGGACAAACTTTACCAGATTATTCGGGAGGTCAAAACAAGCAGAAAATACTTTATGGTGTTGTATCTCAACCCGTTTAGCTTCTGTCTGTCTGTAAGGGCTTTTTTACAAAAACATTCATAACTCCTTAACGGTTTGAGCTGGGAGCAAAAATGTATATTGTTTTGCCCCTACCTTTGAGTAAAATATGAATAAAAAATGTATAACCTTTTCAAAATGGCTGCTATTTGTTGTTTTCAAAGTTTAATATATTTTTTAAATATCTTTAAAAATAGCCGCTATTTTAAAACAATTAATTGTAAAAATGTTATTCATATTTTACACAAAAGTAGTAGGCATAACGATAAACATATTAGCTAAATTTAAACACTATAGCTCAAACCATTAAAGGTGTTACGAAGGTTTTTGTAAAAAGCACATAGGTACAGACAGACAGACGCTAAACGGTTTGAGATATGACACCATGTTGTATTGTATTTTCTGCTTGTTTTGTGCTCCGGAATAATCTGGTAAAGTTTGTCCTAGTCGAAGCTGGACACCCTGTAAGTATATATTCATAAGTCAATAGTATGTCAATAATTAAATCAATGGTAGATATTAACATTTATCAATAGTTATTTCTTAATTAAAATTTTTTAGTCAGTACCGAAAAACTAGTTTATAACTAGTAATGAAAAGAAAAAATTTCTAATCGGTAAAATCACGCTACTGTATGTACCTAATGTACCTAATGCCACAGACTATTCATTCTTTGATAATGCTATGTATATTGCTTACAAAATGCTTACAAGCTAGTGTAGCTCCTCTAACTAAAAAAATCTGCCTGGGCTAGGGATTCTTACGGGATCTAATTAATGTTAATATATATCTTTTTTGTTGGTAATATAACTAGTAATTAACTTGTGATCTGTAGAATAGCCCCATTACCTGGCATATTTCCAAATCCCGAAGTGCGTCTTCATCAATAGAACTGAGCGACGTATTGCTTATCTTCAAAGTCACACACTTTCCAGATTCGTTTTCTAAAAAGAAACAACTTATTTGTTCATAAAAAATTCGGAAACACACATAGAAAATGTTGGACAATTCATTATATTAAAATCCTTAAACTACATACTGCATATCTATCTAAGGGATTAACACTGATATAAGCCCTCTATACAATTAAAAAACGAAAGAAATATTTCGCCACACTACACAGTTTTAGAGTTATGAGAGCTATATCAGTAAACGTGAAAATAGTGTTAGACTCCTCACACACGGATTTAGTACGGAAACACCTGTTTGCTACCTGCAATCAAATGGGGCTTCATTACTAGACATTCCATCCCCATGTTTAAGTTGTCGCCAGTTTTTAATCGAAGTAGTTGATGTGAGCCACCGACAAATTGTGCTGATATAAATTTGAAATTTCTGTCAAATACACTAACTTTTTACAAAAAAAAAAAAAAAAACTAATGAATCGACTTATTGTAAGCTATTGCAACTGTTGTAACTTATCAACATGGTCAGCAACAAAAAAGATGTATAAAACAGAATTTTAGATACCAACGCATCCTGTGACTAGCTCACACAACCATGTTATTTTTTTTAACTAGTAATTTAATAATACAGTAATCATTATTTAGAACATTTTACAGCATCCGTGATCCCAACAAACAACATGTTTAAAACCCTAATGCGAAATTTACAATGCTGTGTCGTTAATGCAGATTATTTCCTGTCGGCAATGCAGAATACCAAGTCGAAAAAGCAGACATCGGTAAGGTAGAATGAAACTTCATGTAGTTCAAGGATTGACCGCTACGCTGTGACACTGAACAGTAACAACAATCAAAGACTGATTACATTCCCTTAACTTGATTGATATTCTTTTATTTGTTGTTGACCATCACAATAGCCTACATGTGTCACAAAACATATTGATGGCTAACATTTTATCTTTCAGAGTAGTTATACAAATAAAATAGCGTAAGTTTAGTACTGTATAGCTTATTTCCTGTATATAATAAAAATTTGTGACTAGTTTTCAATTTAAATCCCACAAAAATACGGTAGGCCTACTTCTGATGCAAGTTACCAGTAAAGTATTAAGTTGAAGTTTTCATAATAAACTAAATAAAGAATTAATTTAACTAAAATTAATATAATCAATGCTAAGTTCGGGCAATACAATCATTGAATCATTACGAATTGCACAACTTATTTCAATCATACAAAGGACAGTCAATGAAACATGTGTTGGTGTTAGAATGACACATTTTCATACATTCGGTTCAAGGCTCAAGTACGTAGCTTATCACAGTTAGATAACAAGTTGACAAACGCTCAGGGAATGTTTTGCAATGTTACCACATTAGTTTGACTCATTTAACTCTCTATTTCAATCATACACTTTCTTTGTATGTGGTTATCTAGGGTATTTGTAAAAGGGAGAAACCAGCCCAGACAACATGATAATGCCTAAAAGCCGTAGATTGAGGTACACAGGTCCTGTGGAAGAGAGAAAAACACTCTATAATCCTACCTGGGAATTACGGATAAAATAAGATCAATGGACATATAACAAATAAATTTGAAAGACCAAATTTAGAAGACAGAACAGGGGAGACTTGGTAAAAGACGACAAAAACCTACTGAAGTTTCCAAGACTCGAGAACCTCCTCAGGTAAGATACATAAATTGAGGAGCCAACAACTGAAGAGGTAAGATACATAAATTGAGGAGCCAACAACTGAGGAGGTAAGATACATAAATTGAGGAGCCAATAACTGAGGAGGTAAGATACATAAATTGAGGAGCCAACAACTGAGGAGGTAAGATACATAAATTGAGGAGCCAACAACTGAGGAGGTAAGATACATAAATTGAGGAGCCAACAACTGAGGAGGTAAGATACATAAATTGAGGAGCCAACAACTGAGGAGGTAAGATACATAAATTGAGGAGCCAACAACTGAGGAGGTAAGATACATGAATTGAGGAGCCAACACCTGAGGAGGTAAGATACATAAATTGAGGAGCCAACAACTGAGGAGGTAAGGTAAGATACATGAATTGAGGAGCCAATAACTGAGGAGGTAAGATACATATATTGAGGAGCCAACAACTGAGGAGGTAAGATACATAAACTCTGAGGATCCAACAACTGAGGAGGTAAAATACATAAATTGAGGATCCAATAACTGAGGAGGTAAGATACATGAATTGAGGAGCCAATAACTGAGGAGGTAAGATACATAAATTAAGGAACCAATAACTAAGGAGGTAAGATACATAAATTGAGGAGACAACAACTGAGGAGGTAAGGTAAGATACATAAATTGAGGAGCCAACAACTGAGGAGGTAAGATGCATAAACTGAGGAGCCAACAACTGAGGAGGTAAGATACATAAATTGAGGAGCCAACAACTGAGGAGGTAAGATACATAAATTGAGGAGGTTTTGTAAGTTTCAAAATACTATTTCTGGGGGAAAATGTTGCTTCCCAAATAAACTAAGGAACTAGTTTTTACCTTGTTATGCAACATCAAAAGAATCGACTGTGTCAAAGCATCAACTTGTAAACCGCTGTATCAGTCAGCCCAGTTAGAATGGGGTTTATCTAAAAGAGCTTTCGGCTGGGCATGGACTAAATAGAATTCTTGAATTCAAGGAAAAGTCAGCAAAAGGTTGTAGCATGTATGAGCCAACGTTTTTGGTTAGGCACAGAAAGTTACATGGAGTCAATCATAGTTAACAAACTTGGGTGGCCAATTTATATTGCAAAAATAATAATTGTAAAATACAAACTTTCAACTCACTTTTTTTCAAAATGCCGCTGAAAGCGTAAGGCCCCAGCGAGGTGATGCCAGGTATGTGACTGAGAGAAAGGTGATCAATCTTCCCTTCCCCTGGACGCTGGGCAGGCCACGAGTTGAGACGTGTTCCATCCAGCACGAGCTCGCGCAAACCTGCTCGAACATGCTCAGGAAACACTGATGTGGGATTCCAGCTCCCGTCTAGCGACTAGAAAAATCATAGAGTAGTCAGAGGAGAGGTAGAAAAGAAAGCAGTTTCCTAGAAAAATTCGCAACACAGTAGGCCTATATTTAATGAACTTATCGTGATTTTTAAACTGTGATTGAACCAATATAGAAGAGTGCACAGCGAACTGAAACTGCTTATAGTGAAAAAGACCACTTTGGAAAACGGTTCTCCTTCTTTAAGGCTGTAGATTAAAACATTGAGAAAAACAAACAACTTAAGGTGAGAAACGTGTACACTGAAGACAAGCTGTAATTAAGCTTAAACATTATGTTTCGCTCAACCCAAACGCTTGTGCTTTGATTGTCATTTGCATATTTTAAGGGTTTTCTTTCTTTTGCACATTGAAGTGTAGGCTTTTTATATATTTATCCACGTTATTACATAATAGGTACTTGAATCTGTACTATTGCACTTCAATTTATTACCAACCTTAAGATTTTCAAACACCTTGAACACATGACTGAGGTCCGTGAGGTTGTTATTGCTGACACTAAGTCGCTGCAACTTCTGGTTCAGCGGTCGATCTCCGAGGAAACTCAAATTGTTCCGACTCAAGTCAAGAACTACAAGAGAGGGCAACACTTCCACAAAACTAACATCCTTCAAAACATTGTCACTTAAGAAAAGTTTCTTCAAATTCTTCAAACTTTCGACTACCCTTCTATTCACCTCTTTCACATAATTACCAGAAGCGTCTAACACCACTAGCTCTGAAAGTTCATGGAAGAAGTCCGATGATAAAACCCCCAAATCATTATAGGAAATGTTAAGCGTCCGTAAATTTGGGAAGGATGTGAAAAACAACAAAGGGAAATCAGTAATATTGTTTTCTGATAGGTCCATTGTCTCTAGTGTTGTTATTTTTGTTTCCGGATTCAACACGGATTTGATGTTGTTGTTGTGGACGTCCAAATACACCAGGGAGGATTCCAAAACTATTTTGAAGTCTAGGTTGTGTAAGGAGTTGAACGAGAGGTCCAAGTGTCTCAGGTACTTTAGACCTTTGAAGGCGTCAGGTGCTACAGAGTTGATGTCGTTGTGACTTGCTGTGAAACTCCGGAGATTTCTCAACCCTGTGAGAGCTCTTGGAGGGATGTAAACTAACTTGTTGTGGTCCAGTGACAGTGAGGTGACGTTTAGAGGGTCGAACATAGTGAAAGGCTGCAGTGACGTCAACCCAGCATGTCGGTAGCTGAGCAATACGGCGGGAGAGGCGTTGGAAGTGGGTGCGTTCGGAAGTTGGTTGGCATTTTGAGTCACCTGCAAATAAACTGTTGTTAGAGAAAGTGACATTATAAACACTATAGTAAGTGAAACACATTCTAGAGTCTACGACGTTTTGGAATTTGAATAAGAAATATTGAAAGAAAATAGCAACCCTTGTTGTTACGCTTGAGCCACAATCTTGTGCACACAACGTGGTAGACACTTATTCTACCAACGTATGGATTTCTGCAATAATTGAATTAACCTACTATCAGCAAAACTGAACTTAAAACAGTTATCTAGAGATGTTAAGTTATCTCGGTGTTTGAGGATTTTGGGGTACGGATGAAAACTCCCCTAACTGAGTAACGTTGATCTAACATGCAAAATCGTTAAAACCCATTGGAATCATCATCTCTTCAGTGTTAGTTACCGGACCTTTCACCTCCTGAGAAATTGGAAAAATGAAAACTATACTGATGAAGATTCAAAACTGTGAAACAAATTCTCATTACATATCTGCACTGTTTACTTTAATACTTTTATTTTCAGGAACATTCCTTACATTGTAGTAACTGATTGTTTGATAGACAAATGAATTTGACTTATAACCCCTCCTTATCTCCGTTTAAGGTTACTCAATTGAACTTTCTACAACTGAATTGCAAAGGGCATAGTTTTAAGCACATTTAGAACCAATAATAATCAATCTACCTTGGGCCTGCTGGAGCAGTTGACTTCCAAAACAGGACCTTCAATTATACACGAGGTGTCTGACAGCTGGGAGCTCAGCAGATACTGGCAGGAACATTTTGTGCAAACGTCCGAGACGTCAAAGCCTCCGGAAGGTAACACAACGCAGGCCAGAAGACCTAATACTCTCAGTACACTCATGGTAGACGGGCAGTTAGTCTGGAACACATAAATTTATTAATAGTCTTTGTAGGTAAACAGCTGTAAGTGGCGACAGCCGAGTGCTAATAAGGAATTTTGGCCAGTAACAAAGCTACACAGATCATCTCCCTCCATTCTACACTCATCCTTCACTCATCTTTGGGTTAAAATACAGTTTAAGTGGTAAGAGCCATATCTTGCACTGATGGTGCAAACTATTGTTTTACTCTTCTTAAGAGAGAAGCCAATTCAAAAGCTTAAGATTGAAAAATATTTTCCTACCGTTTAAAATGGTACATATGTGCATTATTCAAACTACAGGACTAATACTCCCAACCCTGAAGAGCTAATTACTCAACTAGCTGCCATCTAGCGGGTACTACACGTTTGTTTGTTATTGTTCTGTATATTGTACAGTCAAGGATACTTTACAATACGTTCACAATAGACCTAGTCATTTTAAATATCTGTAACATAGATCAGAAAAATCTAACATTACCACACGAAAGTTTTTGTGATGTTCATTACCAGTTAAGGTTGCAAAGGTTATCAAATATTTTTTATTTACCCATTAAACAATTTTCTGCACTAAATTATTGATAAATGCAATTGCGTTATCCAGCAATGCATGGTTTGTGTATTCCTTGTTATGTTTTAGATACCAAAACTACCAGGATGGGACCTGAGGATGGGATCAGATTCCAAATCCGAAAACAATATGATTCCAACAAAGATTCCAAATCGTTTAGGCAAAATATTATACTGTATTCTTCTACATCTGTTATCTAAAAGTGTACGAATAAGGTTTTTATCAACAGGTAAAAACTCTCAAGGATTATCAGCTTATTTATTTATAACTGTCCATCCGCCGCGTTTTGAGGGTCAAAGGTGACATTCCGACAACCCGATGAGGTTTGTAACTACCAAGCGTCGTAGTTTAAACTCCCGAAGATTTCTCCTACTTTAGAGGTTAAAGAGAAAACTATAATTTCTTTCTAAAATGTTTTAAAACCAGTTTGACCCAAAGTAACATTTTATCATTAAAGTCATCAGCTTAGTTCGTATAGAATTGTGAATAATTTTGTCCGGGAACTTAACAGGCTTTTGATCAGTTTTAACTAGTATAAAAAAAACTATTTAATTTTTTTAACTATTAAATTTTTTTTACTATTTAATTTGTATATTTTGTTATCGGAATACATTTCATTAGAAATGTGTTTAACACTGAATAGGAGTTGAATCCTGAATTTGAAACGTGTCCTTTTATAGCTGTTGAAATCCACTAACTGGTGTCAAAAATAAATAAATATTTTTTTGGAAATTGTACAGCCAATCACATCAGTGTAGGATACAATTTACTAAATCGGTTTTTAGAATATTCCATCTGATTCGCCTAATCTAATCTGTGCGACAGTGCAACAGGGAAAGAGCAGTTAAAATGTGTAAACAAAGCAAATTTAAACTCTTTAATCTTATTTCTGTTTTCATGAAAATCATCAATGCATATTTCTCATAACCATATTTGGTAGCCCAAGGGGAATTTTACGATCGGGAATAAGACAGAAACCTTCCCAATCCCAAACGTATACAATATTTACTCAAAGTTTCACGGCGTTTCTCAATTGGTTTAACTTATATATTGGTCCTATCTAAGCCACTTAAACCGTGCAATGCTGATTCTGATGTACAAGCCTATCTCTTAGCTACCAGTTTAGAGTTTAGCCATTATTCGATCCATTAGCTCAACCTGAGCCATTAGCTAATCTGTTTCTACAGATTTGACATGAACGCTCAGTGTAAATGTGTGGGGTCTTGTCTTGTCCCAAGAAGTGGACATCACAAGTACTCCAAGTACGTGTAAGTGGTAGTTCAAGTGGTGTAAGTACTTGCTAGAGTGTCAGAGTGTTTGTGCATTCACCCGGTCACCTGCTCTGAATTATCATTTGTTTATTGTTATTGAGAAGCGATACATTTTAGTGTATAATTAAAAGTGAACGGAATTCAACTAACCATGTTCATGAACCTATCTGGAACCGACTATAAGTCTGTAATGTATTCCAATTATTTTGCTTTTGTGATGTTTTTGACGTATGTGAAATCTCGTATAAAACTTCTGAAATCAGAACCTCTTAAAATTCATAATGAATCCAATAAACTTCGAAGAGAACAATCAAAACATCATCGTACATTCTTTACATCGTATGCAAGCACTTAAACCTTGTATAGAACCGGTAGAACCTCCCAAACAACGTTATGGAACCTCTTCCACTATTTCTCCGATAATCACTTCACAATACAGTGTGAGCACCTTCTACACAATATGGACAAAACTCATAGCTTGGGACTGTATCTAGGATATTCCTTCGAGGTTGAAATTATTAGAGTTAGGCATCGGCGATCACTAACCACAAGCGAGTCCGAACTTTCCCTCGTCACGGCCTAATCGGCAAGGCAACACTACAATAACAGCTGATAGACCAGGCCTGACGTAGTTTCACCGAAATGACCGATCGGACTGCCGTATTCTCCGATGATTAACGAGGAAACGATTTCCGCGGGTGAATTTCCTTTTTAGGAGGAATCAATTTCGTTACTCAGATACCACCTGGCGAGACGAGAGACCGAGGCTTGGACTCCAGCAGGATGGAGGCCATGATGCTGGATTGACTTATATATTTTACTGGGAAATTTATCGTTGTCATAGTTGTAGCCGCTTTTCAGAAATCGATTCAAAAAGGGGTTAACAATTAAAATGTTGGTAGGCCTAGTTATTGTTTCATTGTTACATTTTTATGGGTTCTGTGTGATTGGATGTATTTTAGCTATTTATTTCTGGTGAACCCTATCGGTGACATTGTTTACACGTAGGTATATCTTGAACTCGATAAACATAATATTTTATGCCCTCGCCTGTCGAGGGCCTAAACCCCCCCCTAGGGCTACTCCATGACGTCAAAATTTACGAGACTGGGCCTGGCTGCCCTTGGTCATCGGCCTTTTAAAAAATTATCCTGAATAATTAAACAGATTATCTTAGTTAGTAACAACGCTGCACAGATCATCTCACTACATTCTACACTCATTTTGTTTTTCTTCTTATTTCTGAAATATTGCTATAGTTATATACGAGAGTCAAAATTATCAAGTATATCCCTAGTATCGTTACAGTAAATTATATTTCGACAGTCTCAAAATCAACCGGTTATTTCTGAATGTCTGACGGAGTACAGCCGAAACCATCTTAAATGCAAATGTATTCAACGCCAGAGAATGATTGATGGCAATAGCCGGTTGTTGACTTAAGCACCGCTAGTCATTTAACCAGATACAAACAAGGTAATGGGGTAATAGAACTTAAGATCGGCAGTGGATCTCTTTTCCATCACTGAGTAGTCGCTTTGAATTGATCTTCAGTAAAATTATAAACACTTTCATCCGAAAACTTGTTCCAAAAGAAATAGTCCAATAGGATTTTGACCATTTTCAACCATTGTTCAGTTTTAAGAACCACTTAGGTAATAACTAATAATTAATAACAAGGAGTAATATTGTCATTACCTTAATGGGGTTGCACGGGGTTCAAGCGCTCAACTTCAGCGGGGGTACTTTGTCCCCTTTATATTAAACTAACTTTATAAATCTAATGGTAAAAAAAACTCATATGCGATTGGTACTACTCTGTTCGATACTACTTATTTCCCTGAAAGTCACTGCACCGAAAGTCGTTGCTCCGAAATACACTATTCTTATACTTCTTCCACTGAAAGCTAAATAACCGAACCCCTTTGCTCTGGAAGTACCGGAAGACACCACTCCAAAATCCTTCTACCTCTTTTAAAATACGACACCATAAGGCATTGCATTGACAAATGGTTGCAGCTCCCGCTATACAGATATATTTTTGATTGAAGAAATTATGTATTCTCTGTACGAACCTAACTTAGTGTCAAAACGGCATAACTCTAACATACATGTTACTTTACAAATATCACCAGTCATTAGATATTTTAATTGCTTAGGTAATTAATTGAAGTAAGTTTATATACCAAAAAGGCTTAACTAGTTAAGAATCACTGCGATTTCCAACAGTTTGTGTCATAATTTAGGGCATACAAATCAAGGTTACAAAACTGTCGGCGCAACGCCCTAAAATAAAGACAAATTATACTGACACTGACATAAACACGAAAACCCCGCTGGCTTCTAATAATATCTTAGTGCAATTTAAACAGAGTGAAACATACACACGAATACACTGCTAATGATATCTCAGTGCATTGTGAAAACAATTTCTGTTACACTGGGTTGCTGCGTTTCTTGTAACCGTTCCAAACTGAGAATAAAAGGTTACTTGAGAACTGCATTGTACTAATAATTTAACATTTTATTTTTTTATTGTGTATACACTTCTTATCAGTTTCCAAAGTCAATGCTACGATTTAATTTCCGATGCTTTATAGGAGAGCTAGGAAAATTGTACCTAAGCTTAACTTAGTAAAATTACTATTTATAACTCATTTACCCTTACTAAACACAAATGAGTTGGTTGGTAGTACTATAAAAAGAATGAGGGGTCACAAACTAATAATTTACCATGCACTCTTGATCTGAATTTCGAAAGGTTATCCATTCCACCAGATTTTTACGTCCAACCTAATTGAAAGACTTTGATAGTGGTATCTTTTGAACTTTCAGAAAACAGATTAGTGAATTGAAATGGGGTTTACGTTTTTATCAATGAATGACGAGGTATCTATTTTAGGAGTAGTAAATTATAAGAGTTTTGACGCTGAGTATTTTTGAACATACTATTATTTTGTAGTAGCTTAAAATGTATAATGTCACTATCCGGTTTGATTTTAATTTTGTAATTTAGTGAAATAAAATATCCATGAGACAAAACATGTCATAATTTTATTATCTTTCATTTATTTATTTTTTATGTTATATTTGTTTTTCTCATTTAGATTTATTGTGTAGTTCATTGCTTGTGTTTCTTCAGTTATATAGTTAAAATA